AGATCATCTAGACAGAAAATCAGCACAGTGAGGAGAAGGCAAGACAGTGGACAAGAAACACCACCAGCCAGAGCATCTCTGCATAAGCAGAAACTTAAGATGAAAGAGAATTGTTAAATCTTCTTGTTGGATCTTCCCTTTCACCATTATATAGTGGACATCTTTATTTTTGTTATTTTAAAGCTTAAAATAGGCCGGGTGCAGTGGCTCTCGCCTGTAATCCTAGCACTCTGGGAGGCCGAAGCAGGTGGATTGCTCAAGGTCAGGAGTTCGAAACCAGCCTGACCAAGAGCGAGACCCTGTCTCTACTATAAAAATAGAAAGAAATTAATTGGCCAACTAACATATATAGAAAAAATTAGCTGAGCATGGTAGCACATGCCTGTAGTCCCAGCTACTTGGGTGGCTGAGGCAGGAGGATCACTTGAGCCCAGGAGTTTGAGGTTGCTGTGAGCTAGGCTGACGCCACGGCACTCACTCTAGCCTGGGCAACAAAGTGAGACTCTGTCTCAAAAAAAAAAAAAAAAAAGCTTAAAATATTTGCTCTCTACACTTCCGATAAAGGTATGATAATAAGAATCTATCTAGAACTCAAAAGAATTAACAAGAAAAAAATCAAACAACGCCATCAAGAAATGAGCAATGGAAATGAACAGAAACTTTTCCAAAGAAGACAGAATAATGGCCAGCAAACATATAAAAAAAAAAATGCTCAACATCTCTAATCATCAGAGAAATGCAAATCAAAACCACAATGAGATATCACCTAACCCCAGTGAGATTGGCCTCTATCAAAAAAATCCCAAAACAACAAATGCTGGCAAGGATGTGGAGAGACAAGAACACTCTTACACTGCTGGTAGGACTGCAAATTACTGCAACCTTTGTGGAAAAGAATTTTGAGATACCTCAAAGAGCTGAAAATAGAAATAACATTCGAACCAGCAATGGCATTATTAGGCATCTACCCAAAAGAGCATAAGCAGATTCTATAATAAAGACATCGGCACCCGAATGTTTATGGCAACACAATTCACTATTGCAAGGACATGGAAATAACCCAAGTGTCCGTCAATTCATGAGTGGATTATTAAAATTTGGTACATGTTTACAATGGAATATTACTCAATTCTAAGACATCACAGTGAGCCAGCCCCGCTCATACTATCCTGGATTGAGCTTGAACCCATTGTCCGAAGTGAGGTGACACAAGATCAGAAGAATGGGCTCCACATGTACTCGCCATCAAATTGGTCCTGACCGATTGACACTATGGTGCTCAACTGGTGGTGGCGTTCTCCAGGGATTTGGGTGTTGGTGGGGTAGACCCACGGCTGAGGGAAGTGGTGAACATTGTGGAGGGGAGTGCATACCTCTAACCCTTGCTAGGGAGGGGCAAAGATATAAAATGCAACCAAAATGTTTGTACTCTCATATTTCCTTGAAAGAAAGAAATAAAAGATGAAAGAGAAGAAAAGCAAAGAGACAGGCATAGATCGGATGAGGGTCGGAAGGAAGGGCGCCTGAACCGGCAGGGGACTCCACGGGCAGAGTTGCAGAGCAGAGCTGGAAGGAGGAAGGCACCAGCAGGAACTAAGCCCTGAGAGGTCTGAGGCCAGCCAGCGAGAAGGGTAGGTGGAGTGGTTAAAATCCCCCTCCCTTGCATCTCGGGCTGCCCGGGGTTCCTGAGTTGCTGCAGAGACCTGCCGACAGCAGCCGGGCAAGTGGAGAGCCTCTTGCAGACGGAGCAAAAGGCTCCCAGCTCCCTCGGGCACCTCCCCGGCAGGTGCCACGTTGCTTCTCAACCCACTGGGAGCTTTGTCCTCCCTGGGGGGGCCTGTAGCTCCTCCCGCACAAACATTTCCCAACTCCAGCCCCCACTGCAGGAGCTGCAGGGGTCCAGCAGGCCGGGAGACCTGCCTGACTCCAGAGCCCTCCCACCGTGGGCAGACTGCCCCCCCCCCCAGAGGGGTGTAGACAGCCAGCGTGCAGTCCTTCCTCCGCCTGGTCCGCTATTCGCCCCTTGCCGTCCCTGACCCGGGACTGGCCAAGGGGGACAATTTTACCTGGAGGCATCCGCAGGGAGCTGGGCTCCGATGTTTCCTATTGGGGCCCTGCGGTGGACTGAGGGGTGCTCGGACTGCGAGCTCTCTACTCGCCAGCCCTTCCTGGTGCTGCTGGCCTGGTGGCTCCAGCAGAGCAGGGCACACCCCGAGGCGGAGGGACGTTGATCCGGCTTGAGCACCCTGTGGGTGACTCAGGACCAGGAGACCCTGTTCTCCCTGACAAGGTCAGAGCTTTATCTGTGGGGCCCAGGTGACAGGTGTGCAGGCCGGATCTTGTACACCTGAGGTGCGGGAGCCTGCAGGGGACCAGGAGACCCTGTTCTCCCTGACAGGGTCAGAGCTTTATCTGTGGGGCCCAGGTGACAGGTGTGCAGGCCGGATCTTGTACACCTGAGGTGCGGGAGCCTGCAGGGGCAGGTCAGAGTGGGTCCTAGCTGCGGGGCACTCACCGGGCACCCTTCCTTCCATGGGAGGACCGCGCTTCTAGCTCAGGCCAGCATCCTGGGCAGGGCACCTCCTAGCCCACATCACAGTCATGGGGAGCCCAGCTTGCTGGAGGTCTTGCTTGCTAGCAGAGGCCTGGGAGAAAACGTGGAACAGGGGAGGGTGGGAAGGCCTGCCCCAGACTGCCAGACTGCGGGCCACAGACAGCCCCAAACCCACACGCGTGCTTTCTGGTTCTGTCATATGGGCTTGGACAAATTAATCTCTCTAGTGATTCAAGATCCTCCTCCTATAAAATGGGGATATTTTTGGTCTCACATCATGAGGTTGTGTGAGAGTTAAGTCAGATAATACAGAAATAGTCCTTAAATATATTAAAAGTATTTGGTAAGTGTCAGCTCTTATTTTATTTAACGTTATGCACAGTAAGATAATTGGGTGATATTGGTGAAAGTTTAGTTAGTATATAGTCGCTCTCAGTTGGCATATAAAATTTCCAAACCATTTTGGTGACTGGTATCTTATAACATTGCTAGATCCACCCTTAAAAATGCAATGAGGTGTCACTTTGTATTGATGAACTAGTTCACCTGGCCCTCAGTCTAGTTTTGTCTGTACCTGAGGGTTATAAGATTAGCTCATTATATGGATAAGGAATAAAGGCCTTTATGACTTACGAGCACTCATCAGCCTCATAGGCACAAATGTGATCCTGATCACACATCACTAATTAGAGGAACAGTCATGGGTGAGTTTTGCACCTATTGGACTCCAGTCTCTCTGTTCTCAGTTCTCTCAATGCTAAAAAATTCTGATTCTAGAATCTCGACAAAACTAGTCTCCTAAAAGTTAGTTTCCTTATTGCTCCCTTCATGTCATGATTCCGGAGGCTGTAGATGAAGGGATTGACCAGTGGTGTCACCACTGTGAAGATGACAGTGGCCACCGTGTCCTGAACTGAGTAGGAGGAGGAAGGGTGCATGTAGACGCCCAGGATAGCCCCGTAGAACAGGGACACCACAGTGAGGTGGGAGCCACACGTGGACAGGGCTTTCCTTAACCCACGGACAGACGGCGACCTCAGGACCATGGAGAAGATGCAAGCGTACGAAACAATGATGCATGTAAATGGTGTCAGAAATACCAGCCCACCCACAGTCAAGATCATCAGATCATTGATAAAAGTATCAGAACAAGAGAGTTTCAGAATAGCCTCAGGGTCACAGAAGAAGTGGTGCACGGCATTGTCGGAACAAAATGTGAGTCGGACCATGAGAATGGTGTGTAGAAGAGCATGCAGGTGTGTGAGGAGCCAGGACACGGCCACCAGAAGGACACAGAGTCTGGGCCTCATGCGCATGGCGTAGTGCAGTGGGCAGCAGACCGCTACGTAGCGGTCGTAGGCCATCACGCTCAGGAGGAAGCTGTCCATGTTGCCTAAAGTGATGAAGAAGTAGGTCTGGGTCATACAGCCCCCATAAGAGATAGACTTGCTTCCCAGCACGTGATTCACCAGCATCTTGGGGATGGTGACCGATGACAAGCAGATGTCAACACAGGAGAGGTTGGCCAAGAAGAAGTACATGGGCGTATGGAGATGACTGTCACAGCTGATGGCCAGCGTGATGAGCATGTTCCCAGCGATGGTGACCAGATACATCCACAGGAAGAAACCGAAGAGAACCTCTTCCTGCTCTGGCTGCCCAGAGAGTCCCAGGAGAAGGAATTCTGTGAATCCAGTCTGGTTGTTTCTGTCCATGTCTGTGGGGGGGAAATGTGATTAGAAGAAAGGTTTAATTTATTGGGCTCCATCTATTGTTTAGAGATTGCAATTTCTAATGACACCACATCGTGGGTTTATTAATATCATTTCAAATATAAAATCACATGAAACAGGTGATAATATGTCATCATCTGAGCAAAATTTTATGTTATACATTTTGTTTTGTTTGGGAATTAATTCACATTAGATAATTCCATGGAGTTAGTTTTACGGACATCAGCAGCTGGTTAATTTTAATGTTTAATTATGTTTGATTACATGCAGCTTTACTTTGCTAACATTTACTAAACAGCTAGTATGTACCAAGTACTTTCACATACATTCTTTCTTTTGACCCTATGAATGATGAGTAAGAATCAGAGACTCAGAGACTTTAGGTGACAGTCCCCAACAGACATTTAGCAGTCCTAAAAGAGAAAAAAAACATTTCTTTAAATTCCTCTCTGCTTTTGCTTCCAGATTTTGATTAGCTACCATTTGTTGATTAACCCAGTGCCAGGCACTGTGCTCTTGCTTGGTGTGCATCTTCCCATTTTATCCATATTAGAATCTGCCAGGTAGATATAAGGAGCTTCATTTAGAAGAAGGAAAAGGTAAAAGCAAGGACATTTAGAAATTTGTTTAAGGTCATAAATGCTTTTACCTTGATGAAATGCTATTTTATACAACTCCCTCAAATTCACTGCAGGTCTCTTACATTTTCCCAGGACGTTGCTGCTTGTAGGCTTTGAGGGGTCTCCCTGATGGTCCGTCCTCAACAACCTAGGAACTGCACAGCATCAAGACGTCCTTGTTGGCTTGTTGAGCGAAGCTTGCGGGTGAGGTTTCTATGTGCACGAGTCTGCCAAGAGAATTCTGTTCCCCTTATGCTAGCCACAATAAGAGAATTTAGTTCGGTTTAGGACTCAGTATTATTTTTAGAAGGGAAAGAAAGGATTTATAGAGAGCAAAATGATGGTGTATATCTAAACCATGATCCCAGCATTTAGAAATCAATACTGTTGCAAAGCACTGTGGTGTCAATAATCCTGTGGTGTCACAGTGTTTAAAGGGGCGTTGGTTAGCAAAAAGAAAAAAAGAATTCACAGTGCTTGGATAATAAATAAGAGGAGATAGAATTTCTGGAGAGGGTAAAGCCCCAGTCCTCTCCACTTGCTCTGGCAGTATAGACACTATAGGCAGTATAGACAGCATAGACAGTATAGGCAGCATAGACAGTATAGGAAGTATAGACATTATAGGCAGTATAGACACTATAGACAGTATAGATAGTATAGACAGTATAGACACTATATATAGACAGTATAGACATTATAGGCACTATAGACAGTATAGACAGTATAGGCAGTATAGACACTATAGACAGTATAGGCAGTATAGACAGTATAGGCAGTATAGGAAATATAGACAGTATAGACAGTGGTATAGACAGCACATTTGGGAGACAGGCGGTTGGACGTAGATCACCTGGGGACAGTGAAGAGTCCTAGCATCTTGAGAGTTAAAGGGCAAAACCCGTGTAAATTGGGAAGATCTGAAGTTATTTTCTCACAACTTACAGCACAGACTGCAGGCGGCGGGACGGGACTAGGCTGTGTCCAGAGATATGGAAGGAAGGTGCCCGGGAGAGGCTGACTCTCGTGGAATGTGGAGTTGGGGCTCGGCGTGGCATCAGGGAAGGCGCGGCAGTGTTCGCGCAGCGCCGTCCTGGCGCGCCGAGGCGCACATGGGCACGGCTGACTCACTGCCCGCAGCGGGAATGGCAGGAGGGGGGGCAGGCGGGTGACGTGGGCTCTCCGTGTGGTCTGTCCCCTGCGGATAAGCAGGAGACGCAGGAAGCCCAGCTGCGAAGACTCCAAACCGCGCGCGGAGCGAGCCCTGGGCAGGGGTGTGGGCCACGTGGGTCCGCGACTGCTGATGACCCGGCCCGTGAGACCGCCGGCCCGTCCCGGGTCAGTCCGCGAAGGGACGGAGACACGAGGGGCGGCGGTCGAGAGGAGGGGCCGGGCCTCCTGTCACAGGCACCGGGAGGGGACAGACGCTCCCGGCCATGCGGGCGGAGGGCTCTGAGATCGCCATGGCGACGGCGGCGCTGGGGGGACGCGGACGTGGCGTTTGGCTCTTGCTGGCGCCCCTGGGCGAAGGCACGTCTGGCCAAACCTCCTGCGCTCTGAGCAGAGCAGATAGAGCAGAGCGAGGGTGGGGACGCTCCGTTTGGCTCTTGCAGGCACGCGCCCGTGGGCGAAGGCACGTCTGGGGAAACCCCGTGCGCTCTGAGCAGAGCAGAGAGAGCAGAGCGAGGGTGGGGACACGGAGAGGCCCCGCGTGCTGGCGGGCGCGACCAGGGCGTGGCCGGTGGCCCCCGGAAGGCACCCGGCTAGGCACACAGGGCTGCTCCTGGGGCAGAAGCGACGCCTGCAAAGGAAGGTGACAACAACGACGCGCTGCGCCCCAGCTCGCGCTCCCTACCAGGGGCTCCGGGCGGCGGAGGGTGACGGCGGGGTCTCCCACCAGAGACCCCCGGACACGCGGCCCCGCACAGCCGTCTGCCCGCGTCCCCGGAGCTGGCGAGTCCCGCCACGCAGCGAGGACAGCGGGCAGCAGGAGGGGCGGCGTCCCTGCGCGGTGGGGACTGGCACCTCCCGGACCCCTCCTTCCCCGTCCAGCTCAGGAGACGGGGGCGGAAGAGGACAGGGGTGGAGACCGGGCCTCAACCCGCGTCCCCGCCACCCGTCCTCCAGCCGGGAAACACGCGGGACGGGGGGACGGTTGACGTGGGTATTGGTGACCGAGAGGGACTTCAGTGCGTCATGCCCAACACGCTGGGGTCTGGCCAGGACTTTTCAATGAAAGCAGCCGAGAGAAGATGAGTTACGAGAAGACAAAGGCTGTCACGTCCTGATTAGAACCCCAACACGCTGAGAGTCCCGGGAGTGGGTCACACTGCAGACGCCTGTCACTCTGAGTGGACACTCGCCACCCGCCTCTGGGTGCTGCTTCCGCTCGGCCCTCGGCTGCGTCAGAGGGGCGGCCCCTGCCAGCCCTGGGCAAAGCGTCCGGATCCTGTGACTTAGACAAGTTGATCCTGCTGTCCTGCCTGTGAGTCGGTCGCCCAGGGACGGTGGCGGCGACAGCTGACCTGTCAGCAGCGTTGAGTGTTCCGGCTCCCGGACCTCACACCAGGGCTGCTCCGGCCCCGGCCCCGGCCCCAGCCCCGGCCTGCACCCGCGCGGCTCCGCAGGGACCCGAGTAGCCTCCCTGGGGCTCCTTCCCTGAGTGGCCACAGGCCGAGGTGGCAGAGCACAGACAAGCGTGTGGCACGAGGTGGACATCAGGGCGGGGCGCCCGGTCGTGGGGGACCGAGACTCTCTCTAGGTGGGAGGAGAGGGGCTCTGGGCTCCGAGCTCCTGGTCAGGCTTCAGGAGTCTACACTGGCTGATGCTGGCGCCGCGAGCCCCGCTGCCTCCTTCCCTTCCCACTGCCCCCCTCCTGTCCCCACTGTGCCACCTGCCTGCCCGTCCGCAGCGGACCCACGACCTGACGGGGAGAGGGCTGCACACGGCAGACCGAGAGACGCTGCCCCCTCTGCACACAGGTAGATGCAAAGGGATTTAGTGGGTCTCTATTCCCAATGTCGGTCTGTGCGCGCGTGTCCACGCGGGTCTGTCTGCGGCGGCGGTGACCGCGCCCCACCGGCTCTCCCAGCCCTGCTTACCCGGCTGCTGTCCCCGGCTGTCAGATGCTGTCACGGACTCCCCATCTCTGTAGACCCGCCCGGACCCTGGACGGTGGGAGTTTCTCAGCTGGGGCTGGGGATCGAGGCACCCGTTCTCACTAGGGGACACAGCATGAGCCCCTGTGGGGCCCGCAGGCCAGGCTTGGGGGATTGGGAGCAAATTAGTAGGTTCGTCCATCCCTGGGCAGCGGGATTTCCACAGGGATCAGGGCAGAGCTAGTTGCTAATTTGGGTGACCCTAGGGTTGATTCCTCAGAAGTTCTCATTAGAGATACTCAAAGTTTCTGTTGTTTGTATTCTGTCTGGGCACCGAAACTTGGAGCAGGAGAAGCTCAGCTCTGGTGCAGAGACTTCCCGCACAACCTTGGATGTTCAATCTCCCTTTTCTTAGCCTGTTCACAGTCTGGGAAAACAGTGAGAGGAGGAGCGCAGAGTGGGGTATACTTTGTGATCATGAAATATATCATAGACAAAAACATTTTAGCAGTTGAGAAACTGTATGCAAAATGTAAGAATCCCTAAACAGAATGCTGAAAACTCTTAGAACTCCAAGCAGTGCTTTACTAAATGTGTGCTTTTACTGGAATACTTTATTATGCATTTCTCCATCTTAATCTTAGTGGTCCAAAATACATAGTGATGATGAGGGGTTGGAATTATGAAATTAAAAGTGTGATTTAAAAATCTTAACCAAATAAACAAATAGACACATATATAATAACAAACATACACATAATTGTATCTTATTTATGATACGATATAAATGTATATCTCTTAAAGTCCAAGAAAATTAAGTAAGATTAATTAAAACATGTTATTGATTGTAATAAAAGCCTTAAGAATTGCATGAAATATAGACGTTAGAGATCACCTTCTCTGGTCATCAAGTAATAAAATTAGAACCCAACAAAGATAATATAGTAAAAAAGCCCATAGCTTTTGTTGGATTTCTAAAAATTGAAGTGTACTTTATATACGGTAAAAATCATCCATTTTGGCTGCTGGCTCTATTAACTTTGACACGTGCATCCAGTATGGTAACCACCATCACAGTGAAGGCATCAAATAGTTCAATGACCTGCAAAAAATGTCCCTAGTGCCCCTTTGTAGTTAACCCCTATCCAAACTCCAGCCGCTAGCAGTCACTGTCTTTGTGTGTCAGTGCTCACTTTTGTTGCTCAGTAGTAGCTAGTTGTTTAGGTGAACCACCATTTGGTACTCCATCCATCCGTTAAAGGACATTTGATCTGTTTCCAAGGACATTTGAGCTTCATTCCATGGATGATGAATGAAGTTGCTAAAACCATTTGTACACAGGGTTTTGTAAACATAACTTTTTATTTTGCTTGGTTAAATAGCTAGGAGTTTGGTTGCTGTGTCCTATGGACTGAATATTTGTATCCCCTAAAATTCTCATGTTGAAGCCCTAACTGCCCAGAGTTAGCTACTCTCCCAGCAAACAGGCCCCAAGGCAGGATCGTCTCAAGGGATTTGGAAATAATACGAAATGAAGAAATAATATAGCCAGAGAAATGATTGAGACAGAGACAAAGTGTAGTTTAAATGATGGGGGAATGTGGGGGGCTCCAGCATTCCCTTGAGCTGTGAGCCCACGAGCTATGTCCCGTATCAGTGTTTATTGTTACAGCAAATCCGTGTCTTTCGTTCGAGAAGTACGTGCACAGCTCACTTTTTGAGATTTCCAGGGGAACCTTACCGAATTCTGTCTACAAGAATAGACAGTTACCCAGTTTTTCTAAGATAAGCATGTTAAGCCCAGAGTGAGAAACAGACCTAGCATACAAATTAAAGATAAAATGCATAAAATGAGAACACTGAGTCTGTGCACTACTGTAATTCTTCCAAACACAGAGCCACCTGGTCAGGAGTGAAGCAGGAATAGCCTTGAAGTCTAGGGTAGCTCCAGCTGCACGTTGTCTGCTGGGCTGGCATTTTAACCAGCTTCTCTTCCAGGGACCCAAACCAAGCTTCTGCCGCGCCTCCCCGAGGGCCGCGCTCGCAGGCGGGAGGCTCGGAGGCGCCCCCCGCCCGGCAGCAGCAGCCTGGCGTCCAGCCTATGGC